TGCACATGCACATTCACACCTAGGGGCAATTTAGTAATGCCAGTCCACCTACCTGCATGTTTTTTCTTCTTGTGATTGTTTCAGCCATTGCATAACGTTTATTTGGTCAACACGCTTCAAAGAAGGCCAAAGGCTTTACCAAGCTCCTAATGTGCATTTGGTACAATGGCCTAGTGTCCCATGTAGTAAGGAATTAAAACTTTTGCATTTTGGAAACTGGAAAGGAATATTTTGGGGGCGTTTGATCGGGAAACTAACAAACCTAATGACCAAAAAGAACCAACTTGCCTTTATGGGAACTGGGCAAAGTTCAGCTTCTAATCAGCTGCTACCAATCCAAGTTTATTACTGCTAAAGTATATGGTTGGCATCTATGATATAAAGGTTTATTATGACATACAGTAATTTACCACAATATCACTATTATATCGTCACATCGCCTAGTCCTAAGCCAGCGGTAACAATGACAAGGAAAATCTTTCTGGGACAACATGAGGGAAAAACCTAAAGAGGAACCCGCCTCTTTAAAAAGAAAACCCATCCAGTTCTGGGTGACACTGGATAGTAGGATTATAAATCATCACATTACATTACAAATCATGATATAATCATTATCTTCATATTTTGAATGTGATTCCTGCAATGAACAGAAGCGGCTGTATGATTACAAAGAACATGTACTGTACAGAGAGGCAGGTGATGTTTCTGTGAAGGTACATGAAGATAAAGCTGTGCTGATTGTCCACTTTTACAACTCCCTGAAATATTACAAGGTCTGCATTTCGGGGGGCGTCGCCATCATTTCGGATGTGTCTAATTGATGGGTTGTATCTCTTCTTGCACTTAATTGGCTTAATATGCAATTTATGATTCTGTACCTGCATGTTGTATTGTGTATTGCACAGTATTATGTAAAATACTGCAAATTGTGTTTAGTGTACATTGTCTTGCATGTACATAGCACACAGTATATAATATATGCTTGTATATTCACGCACTACTTTATTCTATTCTATTCAATTCTATTCAACAGTCCACAGTTCAGAAAAGAAATGTCACTCAAGCCAGATTTTTGCAAAGAGACTGTAATTGAACTAAACTAACAAATACAGTGGGGGGAAATAAGTATTGGACCACATTTCTTTCAGTAAATATATTTCCAATGAGATATATGAGCTATTCACATGAAATTCTCAGCAGACGTCAGGATTAACTCAAGACATCTGGAAATATAAAGAATTCACAACATTAAAGTCCATAAATGAAGTTATGTGTAATAAAGTGGAATGACACAGGAAAAAGGTATTGAACACGCTAAGAAAAAGCAGTTCTCCGAGACAAGGTAAGACAAGGAACCGGCTGAAATCTGTAAGTAATTACACCCCCTATCTGTGCAAATTAATATCAGCTGGGTTAGTAAACTGATGGTCTATAAAAAGGCTTTTCATTACCAAGGTGTCACACAAGAAACATCTCATGATGGGTAAAAGCAGAGCTCTCCCAAGACCTTCGCATCCTCATTGTTGCAAAACTCGATACAGAAACTTGATACAGACTCGTTACAACTCGACACAGATACGGGCGTGAGCATGTGCGTGACGTGAGTGATACGCAAATTGTGAAAAAGTGCATTGGACACTTTTGATAAAAAAAAAAATCTCCGCAGCCCCCGCGGATTCTATGCCCAGAATACGTGCTAAAGTGTGCTGTACGTGAGAATCGGCTCCCAGATGGAGAAACACCTACCCTGATACGCCAACATTGTGCACGTTTTCTCCATAGACATTGTTACATTTCATATCCCATGTGCCCATGAGTCGAGAGCCAAAACAACAAAACCTGTCTCACTGACCAGTTATTTACAGACTACATGGCATATGGCATATTAAAGTCCATTGGAAAGTGATTAGACATCTGAGGAAACTTTCTCAAAGGGTTTCTCAAAGAATTTTACGATTTCTGTGTGTTCTCTAAGCCTCTTAAAGATTTACAGAGAAGCTTGTTCCTGCCTGTTTTACACAATTTAAAGATAAGAACCCGAACAGGTGGATGATAAATCGGCTAAAATCCATAAGAATGAATAATACCACAACATTTTTTTAGAGCAGCTCTGCTTTTAACAACTCTGTGGGGTTATGGGAGTTTCTGGCAGCTCCATAATGACGAAAACTGACTGCATTACAGCAGAAAAGGCCGTCAGAATCACCACTACAAACGTGACATCTGACTCGTGATTTAAACACAACGCTGTCCAACAGAAGTGTCTTCAAACAAGTTCTCCTGTCCCTTTCATGGAACAACAGTCAACTCTCACAGACCAATCCAAGGCGCACCAAGGGGTTCGTATAATGTCTGTCAGAGTTGCCATGTGATTTTATATACTCAGCTGTATTAAAACCTGATCCTGGATCATCACTTGAACCCGTGTGTCTGTGTTGAACATTTGTGAAATCTGTATGCCAACTATACAATACTAAAAAGTACTAACACTAGTGATCGACCGATATATCGCCAAGGCCGATATATAGGCGAATATTTGGCATTTTTTTAAATGATCGGCATTGACTAGACGCACTATAGCACATACACGCATTGTTCCTTATCCTGGCTAAAAAAAACACCCAATCAGACACGACGCGAGCATCTGACAGACAGTAAAACGTCCAGTCGACGTTCGCTTTTTAACGTGACGTAATGTTACACACAACAACACTCTGGCGTGCGACCAAATCTTATTCAAACAGTGCCATGAGACATCAGACATCAGTAGTGCAGTTTTATTTATAAGGAAATGTAAGCTGTAAGGTTTATCGAGCGTCTTGCAGAACCAGCCTCGGTTCTTCTGGAGATTTTCTCTGTCACGCTCGCTTCTTATTTTTACAGCGAAACCTGGCAGTGTTCATTGTGTTTTCAATCTGAAAACTGTCTCTTATGTAATACGCTGCTTTCTTTAATGACGTACAAACATTGTTCTGTAACATTTAATCGTGTGCTGGAAAACTAGTGTTTGGGAATCTAAAAAGTTTCCCAAACAGTACTGAAAAGAATACAGTGACTAAGACTTTTGCACAGTGCTGTGTATCATCTTCAGTAACTTTTAAACAAGGCGTCGTTTTCCTGTGGACTCAAACACCTGTGTATTCCTGAATGAAAGTCGGATTGGTGAGCTGGATCACGACACAATGTGAGATGGTACGTTTTCATTCCTAGATTTGAAATCCATGTGCGTCATATTTAATTGTCCATGATTAATGTAATACCACGCGTAGTGTACTGCTTCATGTGTTCCAGTGGGGTTTTTTTATGCTAAGCTACATGCTGCTAACTAAGCATGTAATAGTAAACAATACACACGTGCCTTTTGACATGCAGGCTTGTATTATTTTTATTCGGACAGACATAAATCTCATTCAAATAATATCCTATACTTTGACGAGGAGAAGTTGCACTAAAACGTATTTATTTTTTGATTTGTACAAGTTTCTTAAGTGAATATTTTTGAAGTTCTTCCGAGTACGTTATATAAATATTATGCACAACGTGTTCATTTAATTTCACCACTTTTCTGTACGTCTCATTTACTGTAATTCGATATATTCGTTATATTGGCCACACTGCTTTCTAGATATCGGCATCAGCATCAGCCATTAAAACCCTATATCGGTCAAATATTAAAAAAGTATTTATACTAAAAAAGACGCCTTTACATTTCCACACTTACAGCAGGAAAATTAGCTGATCTTCCTCCCATGCAGAAAACACTGGGGATTTGGGCCTGACTCCCACACACTAAGGCAAGGTCACGTTCATTCCTGCTGCAAGCCAATGAATTCGGCACCGAACACAGGACGGCACTTAAGCATGTGGTAATAATAAAAAGTGATGTGAACTTGTACGTAAATCTCAATCCAAAATCCGATCGTAAAAAACGAGTACAAAAGGGTCCAATTAACGTCGATTAATAACGAGTGTCGAGGTTCCAAATCCTAGAATTTTCTGCGAGTGAGCCAAAAGAAAGAATGACAGATAAAGAAAAAGACAAAGAAGTAAAACAGACCGAGGGATGGAGTGGGAGAGTTTCTGTGAAGAAGACACTATGAAGTTAGGTCATTAGACACGTTCCCTCAGCAGAGCGATATGGGCTTAGGGGCATGAAGCGTTGATCACAACTTGTCCTTTACTCGTGTGCATGCAGAAGGAAAAAAAAAACCGAACAAACAGTAAACCATAAATAATCTGAGAGAGGAAGAGGAGACAGTCACTAAGGACAGTGAGCATGGGGACAAGTAACGGAAGAGAGCTGAGTCTGCCTGAGAGAGACAGTGTGAGAGAGAGAGAGAGAGCGAGAGAGAGAGAGAGAGAGAGAGAGGCCCAGAGGGAGTATGAGAGAACAGCTGAGGGACGAATCAAAGTGTGTTTGTATGTCTGTGTAATAATGCTGTGGTAACATTAACCCACGAATCTGATGGGGGGGATTGGACTTCAACACACCACCCCAGCTGGGTTTGTACACTGATGGAACTCTGACCTAGTGAACTAGCATGATTATACGTACTTTGATGGAGACTACACAGCACTTCTGTAAATCGGTCTGGATAAGAACATCCGCTAAATGTTATAAATGTAAATGTTTTGTTCATATAAACCACTTAATAAGTACACACTCATACATTTTGTTTATTGTATGAATGGCTGCTTGAATGCACATAGAGCTTTGCCGGCTTTGTCTCCGCAGGACAGCATGGAGGATTCACAAACTCCAGTGGGCTCCAGCACGGGGCCAAAATGCTAACAACATGACTGACATGCGCTCACACAGAACCGCTCACAGCAGCCTTCGCCAGGTCTGTGGGAGCTGCTACGGAAATTGGCCCAAATGAAGTGAACGATCACGTCTACCATCTTGTCGCGTGACAAAATGATATTAAACAAACAAGGACGCTGTTACGACTCTCCGTTTGGCCAACACATGACATGGCATACACACTGAGCACTTCGGGGGCAGTGGTGGCTTAGTGGTAAAGGATCTGGGTGACTGATGGGAAAGTCCAGGGTTCAAGCCCCAGCACTGCCAAGCTGCCACTGTTGGGCCCTTGAGCAAGGGCCCTTAACTCTCCGTTTGGCCAACACTCTCTGCTCCAGGGGATGCTGTATCATGGTTGACCCTGCACTCTGACCCCAACTTCCTGACATGCTGGGGTATGTGAAGAAAATAATTTCCCTGTGCTGTAATGTATATGTGACCAATAAAGACTCCTTATCATCATCAGTGTGCGGGGAGGCTGAGTTAAGGGCTTAAAAATAAAAGATCGAGAACAAACCAATGGGTTCTGTCTGGGTAAACATCAGGGGTGTATTTAAAGGCAGAGAGAGTGAAAGTTGGTGTGGTGCGCAGTGGGGATTACGAGATTTTAATGAAAGTGTGGACTGTAGTGTAATCTGAGGAATGAGCTGTACTCTTAAAAGTATTTCTAACAGCTCTGTTATTTATTTAAAATGTACTAAATGAAAGGCAGTCACATATCAGAGTAGGGGAAAGAGTGGAGCTAATGGACACCTGCATGTTCCTTGGGGTGAAACTCAAAAACAAACTGGACTAGTCAGACAATACTGAGGCTGTCTATGGGAATGCACGGAGCAGGGTTTTCTTTCTGAGGAGGCTTAGGTTCTTTAACGTGTGCACTAGGCTTCTATGCACTGTAGTGGCCAGTGTTATCTTCTTTGGTGGCAGTGGGCCTTGTGGTGCTAACAAACTGAGCGAGCTGGTGAGGACGGAAGTGGACAGTGTGGAGGCAGAGCCTGAGAAGATGATGAGAGGGAAGCTATCATGGACAATCCTTCTCATTCTCTCTACGCTGAGCTGAGGAGGCTCTTTCAACCACAGAGACATCCAGCCAGGTGCTTCAAATGCTCTTTCCATGCCATCAGACTCCACGATGCCATAATACCCAGTACCTGGAACCCAGTACCAGTACCAGGTACCAAACACACACACTCAACAGTCATTCCACAGATATTACAGATGTATGTAATACCAAGGTTATCGCACATGTACATATACAAATAGATCTCTTGCGTATGTACATACACATACACCCAGATCTATTATAATGTTTCAATTATCTCTATTGTTTAGGTATTTATGGAGTTTTATTTTCCTTCGTTGATGTTACTCCTACTTCAATTTTAATTTCCCCAAGGGGGGATCAAAATAGATACATCTTTTTGATCTGATCTCGCTCTAAAGGACACAAAAACGAACACAACCTGGATCGCCAAGTGAACAAAGCTCATTATTCCTTTATTTTCCAGCCTTGAGCTGATGTCGATGTGTTCGTGTTCTGGAGCCACAAAACCATTATGTAAGCAGCCTTACTTATGTAAGTATGCAGATCGGTTCCTCCAGGATCGCAGAAATGAACGCAAAATCGAGTAGACGCCGCACTATTCGGAGGTTCTTGCAAATGTTCAGAATTCCCACAGATTTTCCACAGATTTGCCGGGTTCGCGTCTCGGGCCCAAATCTATACTTACAAAGCAGACAAATCTAACAAATCTATACTTACAAAGCAGAACACTGACTGTCAGGTGTACTTACGTTTAACTTCGGGTATATTGACACGTCTAAATATACGTGCAGCGAGATACTCTAGTTTACTGAATAAACAGCTCATATGTTCAGAATACATCCGAACAAGCATTTTAAATTGTATTTGTGGAAGAAAATTCTAATTTTACTCACATTCGTACTGTATTACTGTGAATCTGGTTAACCCCCAGGTGTGTGAGAATCACCTGGATACCTTCCTGCGTGTGTGCACATGCTGGCTGAGAGTTTCAACAGTCACATAGCGTATGATGTATGACACATTCGTATTTGCGAGAAGCTTCACGCCGAGTCAGCACTGGTCCCGCTAGTATTTGATTTCACCTGTCCTAACTGCCACGGGCAGTGAGAATCATCTGGATGATGCCAACGATGTCCTGAGAAACAGGATGTTAGGACTAGTCATCAAGGTGCTCAGAGATGGTCTGGAGAAACTTCTTAGAACAGCGCACCTCCTTATGTCTATAAAGAGGAGACACTCCCTGTACAGTGGCATGCCGGATTTTATTTGTATCCTTTGACATGTCTAACGTATTAGCTTTGTGTTTGATTTATTTACTTCGGTGTCTCAGCTTGATGTTGTCCCATTAATACTTGTCTTCGTTGTAGTTATAGACAACATCAGCAGACTGCAGATGCAATCCTACAGTCATCCTACAATGGTCTTGGATTTCCTCCATTTGTACACAATCTGTCTGACTGTGGATTGGTGGAGTCCAAACTCTTTAGAGATGGTTTTGTAACTCTTTTTCTGAGGTCCTCAGAAATCTCCTAGGTTCAAGCCATGATACACTTCCACAAACAAGATCAGACTCTGATAGATCCCTGTTCTTTAAATTAAACAGGGCGCTCACTCACACCTGATCGTCATCCCATTGATTGAAACCACCTGA